ATGTTTAAAAAGATTTCCCTTGCTCGAAAGCCAGTTGAATGTGACTCTAGGGGGCGGTGCTCATCTCCGTTTCCAAGCTGAAGAGCCAGCGCTGTCCAAATATGTTTCTGTGGTCATGTGGCCGGCATGACTAAACACCGAGGTGCATGGAATGCTGTTACCTTCCCACCAAAGCAGTACCTATTTATCTACTTGCAATTTCTTGCTTTCGACCTCCTAGGTTGGCAGGAGCTGGGGCCAGAGACGGGAGCTCACTCCATCACAAGGCACTAGGGTCTCAGACTGCCAAGCTACAGACCTTCCAGTCTGCAGCTCAGTGTCTTAACCTTTGAGCCACCACTCATGTTGCCCACCATCAAATCCTTCCCCACCTCTATAAATAGAATTGTGTTTCTTCCCCAGAATCTGAAAGGATTCTCGAATGCTAGGTAGGGGAAATTCTGGGGTAAAAACCTGGCAGTTCTCCTTTATATTGCTTCATATAGTTTCTTGCAGGGCAGAGGTCAGCTGTGCTTCAGATGCTAATATTCAAAATGTTTGTGATTCGTCTGCTGTTTTCCAGCAAGCTTCATAACACACTAATCTTCTTGCCCCAGGTTCACTGTCACTTGCTGCATTAGCTAGGCAAGAGTTTAAGATTATTTCTAGGCACGCTGAGTTGTTCAAAGAAAAAGGGGTTTCCCTAGTGTAACGATATGAGCTTATGTTTGTATTTCTGTATAGTGGTGATGCTGCTTATGTGTGTCTCTAGCATGAATACCTATGCAATATGTATTCAGGGATGCCCTGGAGGAAACGGGATTTTTGGAAGGTAGATTCTGTGGAATCACATACCCACTTGAGTGCCCTCCCTTCCCAGACTCCATTGTCCTCAGGCTCCACCCCCAGTTTCCCAAGAATTCCCCAAGACGGAGTTGGTAACCCTGTTCTTATATACTGTTCTGATTATGTGTCTACTGGTATGACTAGAAAAAAGAAGTAGTAACTCTACTGTTTCCCTAGGGCTGCCAAGTGGGGGCGGGGGGCGGGTAAACCCCTGCTTTGGAGGCCCGATTTTCGCCACCGCAGAATCGGGCCCCGGGGGAAATTCCGCCCCCCGAAGCGCAACCACATCGATCACGTTGGGGGCCACGCCCCAATGTGATCACAACATGATCGACGTCGCGCGCATCGGAGTAGAGCTCCCGAAGCCCGGCGACACTCCCCTGCTGGTAAGA